GAAGGCAAGAAAGACAAAAACTGACAGATTCATACAGCACAATTAATCAAATCAACTATGGATTGAGCAACCTTCTTTTAGCAGTGTTTGGACCTTGGTCCTATTCATTCTTCACCCATCTACTTTTTCCTCATCTTTCATCTACTCTCAAGTGTTTTTATTAACAAAATTAAATTATTACATCAAACAGAAGACATAAAATATTATGCCAAGAGAAGCGTGCCGAGAGCCAAAACTTCTAGCAAGTTCATAAATATATTCACAAACAGTGTTAAGGTTCTCTGTGACTTCATCAGATATCACTTAAGTTCCCCTTCTAGTGTATAGACTCTTCAATCATGAGTACTGATACCACACAAAAAGATACAGAGACGGATTTGTTCGTATTATGGAGAAACCAATCAAAAAAGTTTCAGGACAGAAACAGGCTTTTCACCATGGGGAGAACTTACAGTGCGCTGCCCAGATATTATTCTTGACACATGACTTAGCTTCAGGTGTTTCTCCTCTTTACCTGAAAACCATATTAAAGCAGACTCATCCTGCAACCACAATCAGAATTAATTTTTAGATACTAAAGCATTAATTCTCAATTAGAGCTAGATTTCAAAGGACACAAAGTAGTCCAGACTTCAGATTTTTTTTCTTTTTTTTTTTTGATAGAACTTCTTTTGATAGGTAAAGTCCAAACTTCAACTTAATAAAGAAAAGAAATTCCGTTTAACTGAGATACAACAGCAAATCCAATTTCTAGTAAAGGTATAGACAGACAATCTGTGCAGCATGAAAGAACTCTTCTTATGAAACCACAGGTTTTGTTACAACCAAAGTCATCAGCAAAGACAGACAGAAATGGCCAGCATCAAGCGTTAAACCTTAACAAGAGACTGAAGCTCAACTATTGGGACAGAGCGGAAGAAGGAAACAGAGAATAAATGGATTCAATGACATTGAACTACATGCTGCACCCTTAAACAGTAAAAAGTACCGTTCTAAAAAATGGTTGATTCTCTCTCAGGTATGAGAAAAACAGCATATCTGAATAAAGAACCACTCTAGGTGTATGTGTTTGTGGAAATTATCCATTTTGTTTCAGCATAAATGAATGGTTTCAAAGTTTTGGTTGTTGGATAACATGACAGGATAGAACTTCGGAAGACAATATGATTACCAACTTTTGCTGCATTTCGCTTGTAACTCAACTTTAAATATTATTCTGCATAGATAAAATGCTACTTTTGCTTGTCTTTGGTATGAGGTAGTTCAGATATCACGTATTGTTTTCATAGTAGCAGAAAGATTAAGGAGCCTGGACTAACTGATGCTTACTTTTCATGCTTGATAATGCACATTTTCCTTATGTCATGTAGTATTTCTATCGTTTGAATGATGATCCTCCTATCTGAAATACAAAACTCATATGGACACACCACACACGCACGTACATCAATTCTGAAGAAATAGAAAGTAAAAGGAACTGATACAGTAAGCATTTGTGAAGTGAACATTAGGTAATTCGATCAGAACCTAAAAGGGTTTCTCAAGTAGATAGGCTGCAACACACATTTTGGGTAACCGATGTACAGTAAGACACAAAACTGAAGATTCCGCAAACTTCAGAGCAGCTGTAAAATCAACCGGAGAATGTAGAGGGAAATTACAATAGGAAATGCATAGTTTGCTAACCCCTTTTATAGTAATATTCTCTCTATTACTGCTTATACTATTACACGATACTAAAACCCTTCTCTTGCCCTTCCTTGATCCAATTTTACACTGGGGTATTATACAAACAAGGGTCACATCAAGCACATTAACTCAAAAATTAGACAATTATCAAACATCTCCGGCAGAACCTGACAGATTAATTTATTTGATTTTTTAAGGCAATCAAAAAATGAACCCGATAGACTACTAGCTGCTGCTTGATAGACCCTAGAAGTTCTTATTCTTGCCCAATAAATTATAGAATAAAGGAGTTACACGTCAAGTGTCAAATATCACGGTTTTGTAGCATAATTGACAAAAGCAAAGGCCAGCATAGATATTAAACTACATGATTGGGAAAAGAAGAGTAAATTGCATCTCAACCTCATGCTACACTCAACAATAAAGAGAGAAATATTTTTTCTTTTTATTTTGACTAGTACAAATGATATCTTACGAGAATATTCATAGATGACAAAGAAAAAATTGGGGTAAGAATACAAAGTAATTTACACAGGATAAAGAAACATGAACTGATACTTACGTTTGACAACCGAAAGGGACAAAACTTTGGCTTCCCCCTTCTTCCATACTTGAGCAAGTATGCACCCTTCTTTAGAGCAGTTATTGCCTGATGAAAATCATAAGAAATAGAAGCTGAAAAGAAGTTTAAAAGGTCGAGAGACTTTGAACATAACAAATAAACAAAGAACAAGCAACACTAATAGCCCAATTTTCAGAAGTAGTTATATTTAGGTGGTAACTGAAATTACTTAAAATGACTTCATTGCTCTTGCTACCAAAATCAAGGTTTATATGACTTGGCACGTCAACAGCAGCAACAATATTCACACAATTTTATGACATGCCAATTGCTAATTCTTTGTAAAACATGCTATCCTAGTATTATTACCTTACTTGCCATTCCTATTCTATGTATAAATGATTACAGAATTATTGTGCCTCAATTAAACATGCTTTCTTTTATGATTCATCTGCATAAAACCATAAAGAGGAAGTTGATTACGAATTCTCACCACAGAATGCCAACAAATATTCTCAACATTAAAATACGAAACCACGAAAAAAGAAAATGAGAAGTGGAGAAAGTATTGCCACATTCTCATAAGTAAAAAAAGAAGTAGTCACATAGGTTAAAAATAATAGGGCATTCGACAAGTTTCCAGAGATTGCCAATAATGAAATACAATAAAATCAAACTATGCTTCTATCGCGAACCCGAACTAATAAGGATTCTCATCAATAGCCAAATACAATTCAATCAACTGCTCTTCCATTCCAAACTAGTTGGAGCCGACTTATCAATAACTAAATACATTTCAATCAACTACTACTCAATTCTAAACCAGCTGGTCAGCTAATCAATAATAAAATATAATTCAATCAGCTATGCCTCAATTGTCTACTGTAAGCCTAACGCCTCTATCTCAAACTAGTTAGGGTCAGCTTATCTAAATAAAATAGAATCCACAAAAGCAACAATACCCAACAAACTTCAGTTGCTATACAATTCAATCAACTATACCTCAATCCCAAACTAGTTGGACTCAGCTTATCAGTAATAAAACACAAAATTAACAAAAAACAATAATACTCAATAAAACTCCAATTGTTTAAACAATGGTAAAAAGTGCAAGTTTACTATAGCATATAAAAATAAAAATCTATTTTGTACCTGCTCAATATCCCTTTCAACTTGTCCACTAGCTCTGTTGGCATCTGAATTCATTCTATCAATTGACACCAAAGTCTGACACTTCCAAAACTAGCCCTAAAATCTCTAAAACCCTCCCATTCATTTATAAAAAAATTCAATTCCAATCACATTGAATACAAGCTCTATTCAAAATTCACCAAACGCCCTAGGAAAAAAAACTGAAAACTACTGATTACAATGATCATATATAGCCCCCCCAAAAATTGCAATTTGCAACTACTCAAAAAAAAGGTGAAACTTTTTTTTTTTTGGGTGTCACCTTTTTTTTTTGGGTGTGAATTGAAAATTCAAGAACTGAAGTGGGTATTAAGAAATAACTAAAATTAGCAAGACCCAGATAGCTGAAACTGTGAAAACGATTGAAAATGAAAGTTTTATAGTAAGAAAAAAAAAACGTCACTGCTTGTGAATTTGATAGAGAGAGAGATCAGCTGATAAAAGTGAAGCAATAGAATCTAAGGTTTGATCTGATTATTTGTTTTTGTTTTGGGCAATGGGTGCAGAGAAGCAGCAAAAACACGCACACACAAAAGTGCTACAGAAGATGACTGATGAGAGAGAGAGGAGAAGAAAGGTGGACTAAGGAGAATAGAATATAATATTAATATTAATTTTACTTTCTTTAAATTGAGGAAATAGCAGTTACTCCTATTAATTAAAAAATTTTGAAAAAAAATGAAACTTGTAGGTCGCTGGAACCATAGCGATCTGTTTAACTAAATTTATAGCTCGTCTGGAGCTTATAAATCAGCTTATTTGTTTTTCTCCAAAGTACTTTTAAAAAAAGTGTTTTTGACGAGAAATAGTTTGTGTTTGGCTAATTAATTAGAAAAATACTTTTAAGCAGTAATTAGTGTTTGACCAAGTTTTTAAAAACTGCTTCTAAGTCTATTTTTCTTAAAGTGCTTCTCAGAAAAGTGCTTTTGGAGAAAAGTTATTTTTTTCTACTTCTCCAAAACTGCTTCTGCTTCTCCTCAAAAGCATTTTTTTTCTTTTCAAAAGCTTGGTCAAACAACTCAATTTTTGGGCAAAAGTGTTTTTGACAAAAAAGAAACACTTTTGGCCCAAAAAAAATCTTGGCCAAACAGGCTATTATTCTATGCCAAATACATTTACAATCCATCCAACTTGCATCATTTTTTATTTTGGCACTTTATCGCTACCTTGTTTCATTTTGACCCTCCAACTTTATTTTATATGTTCCATTTTGGCCCTCCAACACTATTTCTTATGTTTCATTTTAACACAAAAGCTGAAATCAGTGCAAAAAAATATAGCTCGTGTGTATGCACAAATCTAAGGTGTAATAAATATCCAATTAAAAATTGCCACTTATTTTTTTTATCAATGTCAAACAGGTCAATACTAGAATACCTGAACCCGACCATCTTTTTTGTTGGCAGAGGCGGATGCACTTAGCGAAGCGGTGTCACGCGACACCGCTTCGTCAAATTTTTTACTAAATATATGTATTAATACTGTGAGGAAACAGATAAGTAGTAAAAAATGACACCACTTGACATAAATTGTCTCTTGGTGCATTGGTTATGTGCTTGATTTTGCTCTAAAAACTTAGAGTTCGAACCTCAACTAGCATATTTTTTTTGCCAATATTTGAAAGAGTCTTTATGGTTAAAAATTGTGATGAATTAGAATTGAATCCAGGACCTTTTTCTAACTTGGAATTCAACAAAACCGATAGACTAAGAATATTTTTTGTCTATAAGTATGATACTTGAAGTTATAATTCCTGTACATCTATAAATTTGACGCCGCTAACAAAAATTCTTGCGTACCCCCTGTTTGTGGGTTTATTTCATCTAAACGGGCCAGGTATGAAATCGGCAGATGAAAGCTTTGGAACTTAGTATGAAGATGGGGCAACAATGGATGAAAAAATACGGTTGGGTTCAAGTATTTTAATATTGACCCGTTAGACATGGATAAAAAAACAGGTGGCAATATTTAATTGGATATTTATTACACCTCATATTTGTGTATACACACAAGCTATATTTTTTGCACTGATTTCAGCTTTTGCGTTAAAGTGAAACGTAAGAAATAGAGTTGGGGAGCCAAAATGGAACATATAAAATAGAGTTAGAGGGCCAAAATGAAACAAGGTAGAGATAAAGTGTCAAATGAAAAATGGTGCCAAGTTGAATGGGTTGTATATGTATTTGGCCATTTACATAACTAACCATAGTTGTGTAAGGCCATATCTTTGACATCTGGATTTTTGTGGGCCCTGCCTCATAGTCATTCCACTTCTCTCACGTTGTCCGGGTTATTTGAAGAATTAATCCAAATAGCCGTCCACCCAACCACTTACAGTATAATATACGCACAATTTATATATTATATGTGTATAATTATATATAATTAATGTATAATATATGTATATGACTAAAAAAAAATAAACAGTAAATATGAATGACTATTTGCATAAAGATCCCTGCATGCAAATATTCCTACCTTGTGAAAGTAAAGAAGGTGTTTCCGATAGACCAGCTCAAAGAAAGTATGATCACAACATGACAAAGAAATACAAGTTACATATTTATTTTTGAAAAAGCACCATAACCTCACACAATTAATAGTAATTGTGTGAGATATAAAATAAAAAAGTTCATTTGACACATCCGACATATGGTTTGTAAGAACTACAAATTTGGGTCTATTTTTCTTATGCTTTATACTTAAGTCGCGTTTTACATATGCGTTCTGTATATCTTCAGGATTTCTTTTAAATAGCACACCGCTAGAATTTATTGAGTCAAAAGTGCACATTTTTTAAAAAGAAAAATCACATAAGCACTAGATTGTACTTGTTGCATTTGACTCATTTCTCATTAATTATTTTTTATTTTAAGTAATTTCTTCTTCTTTTTCTTCTTCGGAGGTTTAGATGTATAGTATTTAAAATCTATTGGCCTGACTTATCCAAATTTATGTCAAGGAAAATCTACTCGAGATTAAAACACTTCCTCCAAAAAGAAAATTGCATTTAAACTTTGTTGGGTTTTGCTATTAATAACAAAAGATGTGTGAACGGAAAATGGTGAAAAAAGAAATAAAGGGAAGTGAAAGTTTGAATTAGTTTACTTTACTAATGCACTTTGTCCGTCATTGGTAGAAGGAAAGAAAATCTTTGATAGATAAGCTTATCTTTTAGCTCTTAAAGAGTTAAGAAGAAGGCAAGCCTCGCGTCGTCGTCGTCGTTCGGCTTCGGCTTCGGATTTGGTCAAAGATTGATTGATTAATCTTTTTGGACAAAATTCTTTTCAATTATTTAATTAATTAATTAACAAAAATTCAATCCGAAATAATCCATGACCCGCGATCCGGTCCAGCACGTTTTCTTTCCCGGATTAATTTTAAATCCATTTGTTTTTCCCGCAATTTTTCCTCACATGTTCCAACAGCTATAGTTGTTCTAAAAGGTTGCAAACCTTTTCAGAAGCAGTGCCAAATTGGCTATAAATATTCCTTCAATCCCAGAATTTTTACTTACGAAATTTTCTGATCTTCTTCTTCTTTTGCACATAAAAAATCCGATGTGTTTTACAACATTCGAGTGGTTCGTTGTTCATCGGCATTTTTGGTACCAACACTCCGGTAAGTTAAATCATTCTATCCTGGGAGGATATATTCCAGAACCTTGGGTACTCGAGGGGAATAATTTCCTTAAGGACACACTGTGTATTCAGTGAGCTCGATTTATTCCTATACTGTTTTCAAAATTTTATTTGACGTTCCTATACTATTTTCAGAATTTATTTTGACATTCTAGTTCTATTAACTTTCTGTTTCTGTTTTTTCAGAAAGTTTATTGTTTTATTGATTTTATAGCAATACAATTTTAATAACAATCTTAAGGAAATTATTTTGTTATATTTTGTATTCTGTTTGTGGAGATTAAAACCTATGTGATTTTCTACTCCGTCTGAATTTTACTATTCTGATTTGATGATATAAAAACTTCATCACAGTATNTATATAAACTTCAGTTTTTATTTATCATACGTATTGTTTATTGATTACAATTTTTTTTACTGTTCTTGTTTTGCCATTAATTGAACTCTTCTATTGTTGACAGTGAGAAATGGCAATTAATAATGGAAATTCTTCTGTGACTATTGTTGCAACGACGATAGCCTCGTCAAGTCGCACTACTGTTCCTCCGGCCGAGAAACCGGAGAAAGTTTCTGGAGCCAACTTCAAAGGATGACAGCAAAGAGTAGTCTTCTAGCTTACCACACTTGGTATGCAGAAATTCACTAGTGAAGAGCCTCCAGTGCCTGCTGCGGACATGCCGGACAATGAGAAGTTCATGATTGTTGAGGCGTGGAAGTAGGCAGATTTTCTTTGCAAAGGCTATATCTTAAGCACTTGAGAGGATGACTTGTACAATGTGTACAGTGCGGTGAATGCTTTGAAAGAATTATGGAACGCACTTGAGAAGAAGTACAAGACGGAAGATGCATGCTTGAAGGAGTTCGTGATTGCCAAGTTTCTAGACTATAAAATAATAGACAGCAAAACTGTGGGAACCCAAGTTTAGGAGCTTCAACTTATTTTTCACGACCTTATTGCTGAAGGTATGGTCGTGAATGAAGCATTTCAAGTGGTTGCAATGATTGAAAAATCATCTCATTCGTGGAGAGATTTCAAGAACTATCTTAAGCACAAGCGCAAAGAAATGAAGTTGGAAGATCTTGTGATACGTCTAAAGATTGAAGAAGAAAACAAAACAACCGAGAAGAAGTCTCGTGGAAATTCAACGATCATGGGAGCTAATATCGTTGAGGAGACTTCTCCAAAAAGTAAGAAGGGGAAGAGGTCTTCTGGACAGACTAAGGAGCAGAACAAAAAGAAATTCAAGGGCAACTGCTACAATTGTGGAAGAGTTGGTCACAAAGCCCCTGATTGTCATCTCCCGAAAAAGGATAAGAAAAAGGGACAAGTCAACATAGTAGAGAAGAATGATGACATTGATGATCTTTGTGCAATGCTTTCAGAATGCAACCTAGTTGAAAATCCGAAGGAGTGGTGGATTGACTATAGAGCCACTCGATATATTTGTGCTGTCAAAGAAGCATTTGCGACTTACTCTACTGCTGGTCCCGAAGAAGAGATTTCCATGGAAAATAATGCAACGGCCAAGATTGGAGGTTATGGAAAGATATTCCTGGAGATGACTTTCGGCAAGGTGTTAACGCTCAACAATGTTCTTCATGTTCCTACTATTAGGAAGAATTTAGTTTCTACTTCTTTACTTGTAAAGAATGGATTTAAATGTGTATTTGTTTCTAATAAAGTTATTGTAAACAAGAATGAAATATATGTTGGAAAAGGCCACCTCACGGAGGGCCTTTTCAAACTCAATGTAATGGTTGTTGGCAGTATAAATAAAATTTCAGCTTCTTCTTATTTATTGGAGTCAAATGATTTATGACATATTCGTTTAGGACATGTCAATTATAAAACCTTGCAGAAGTTAATTAATTTAGAAGTATTGCCTAAATTCGAGTGTAATAAATCGAAATGTCAAATATGTATTGAATCTAAGTTTGTAAAACATCCTTA